GGACCAAAAACCTAGATCTAGCCATGAAATAAAATAAATCTTGAGTCTTGATGCTTACAATGGTCCAAACAAGAGAAGAGATGATGACAATGATGCTTCCTTGAAACTCCCTTCGTTATGGTGCTTCTTCTCTTTCTTTCTTCTCTTATAAATAAGCAAAACACTAAGGATCTCAAAGATGGTCGAATATAGGGTTTCCAGAAGGCTTAGAGGGTGAAAGAGATTGACGATATGCAACCCTAGCCTCTCATTCCTTTAAATATCTGAAATATTAGGGTTTTGAGTCATCGGATTGTCCTCACATCGTGAGACTTATGCCTCACGCCCTGAGTCTCAAAAATGTGGTCAACTTGGTCAACTAATACTCATTATGTGAACATCGTATCCCACGTCGTGACCCTTCCAAAAGCTATAAATTCAAGGAATTATGTACCTCAGGGATCTGGATGTTACACAAGGAAGTTGTATTCATCAAAACTTAGCTTCAAAATAAAGAGAGATGAAGAGAAGAAGAAGCTACAATTTTCATCACTTCGTAAGACCAAAATACCCAAATTTTCCCATGCATAAGACCTTCTTATATACTCTAATACAAGCAAAATGATACACATTTTTATATACAAAAGTAATATACTAGATGAGAAGCATGGGGAACAACGTATGGAGGTTGAAAAGCAACCTCCCTACTCTATAGAAAAGTTATGACTATATGGCCAAGGAAGAAACAAAAACTTATTTCTTAGTTATTTTAACTACAAGACTAAACAACTAGTAAGTTCAAGGTTAACCAAAGTTTCAAACACTACATACATGACTTTTAAATCTTACCAAATGATATAATAACTAGTTTGTCTTCCCTTTGATTATTATTTTCATAAAACAATATTTTTTCTCTATTTAGATAAAAGAATTAATATTATTTATTAATAATCATATTAATAATAAATATACAAAATGTGTTAACTTGATAAATGTGTGACCCTATAGAATCATATGGTATTAGCAATATCACTCAATAATGATTATTGTGCATATAGATTCAACAATGGGCATATTCAAGGATTTTAAGTGTATACTTATATTGAGCAAAAAAACATACCTATTGTGGAGCAAGTGACTAAAATGTTTAGAAAGTGGTTCAAAGCCCAAAGTCTATCAAAGAAAACTCCTAACCTAGGTGGGATATGATCTAATAAAGTAGGGCCTTATTACATGTTGTAAGGATGATATCATTCATGTATAGAAGTAAATACGTAACTTCATGTTCCTACGGAGAACAAAGTGTAAGGATTCAGTTTTATTATGCTCAAAACCAAGCAGAATAAATCGCCTTCAAACCATTAAAACCATGTTCATAAGGCATTTTTTAGGCTATATAAATAATTTTTCAATTGACAAATATGATGTGGATTTATAAGTTCTTAAAGTCATGTGGTTGATTCATAAAGACTATTTTGGAGAGATGTTAATGAAGAAAGGCATTTTGACATCTAATTATTATAGAGGTCATTGTTAGAGGTGACAATGAGCATGGTATAGATGGTAGTTGGCTTGAAAATCTCGTCACAGTCAATGTGTAGTTGTTGGCTTTTTCAGTTTGCAACTAAGCAATATTTGTATATACTAATTAAACCATATTCATAAAATTTCTTTACAAAAAGCGATAGTGATACCCATCAATCTAGGTATGAGTGGTTAATTTCCTTTTCTAATAAGCACATTATACTCGTCATATATAGTTTGTTACCTATTTGGGTCTTTATGGGCACATATATAAGATTTTGAAATGGGAGATAAGGAGGATGTGTGAAGGTTGATCCTTTAAACAAGCTTAGTTATGTCAATACATAGCCCGATGGTCATAGAGTGATAAATAGGAAGGGTTGTAGATGACAAAATCATGGTGGTCGAAGGGGGAGTTTGGTTGATTGGTAGAGACGGATGAGTGGTTAGGACTAATATAATGGCAGAAGGAGTGGAAGTCGAAGTTTCTGATATGCTTTGTCAGGTTGCTTTCGGTGTAGAAATGAGTTTCCAATATCCGTTAGAGCAGGATAGGGGCTAGTGGGTTGCATAGTAAGTGGGATAAGGTGTAGAGTGTTGGTGATTTTAGTGTCACCATGTCATTTTAAGTAACTGAAACTAACATGTGAGTTAAGGGGCTTTATAATTTGTACTCTAATATATGTACGGGGTTGTGCGGAGTGCACGCATGTATAAGATCGAATTAGAAGTCAGTTCGACGATTAGTCGGGGGTCCGGGGTATCCAAAGGGGCGGGCGGGGTTTAGGGGCAGCGCCCCTAGCGGGGTCCAAGGGGTAGAGCCCCTGGCTGGGGTCCCACTGAATCCGGATTATCATAACTTGCTTCCAAAGCAACTAATTATGACCCAACCCTAATGAAACCCTAATCTCGTTTAATATATAAATAGTTCTTCCTCTTCAGATGAGGGTTACGATCTTAAGCTCTCGTTTTTCATCATACTTTCACAGAATCCTCTAGCATATTGGCTTACGATTTATGTGCCTAGAAACGTATGTATCCACTTGGATTATCCTAGGCTGAATTTCTTGTAACTCAGGCATAGGGTAGAAATATCAGTTCAGAAAGTGATATCACGATCTAAGTTGGTATCCAGATCTCTACCACAAACCTTAAATATTCCCTACATAGAGAGGAGTAGCTGTGAGAATAATGGGTTAGGTTTTATGTTAGAGTCGAGGAAATTGTAGGAATGAAGTTAGGTTGAGGTCATGGAGGAAAACAGGAAAACATTTTTATCGATTGTTATGTGATGAGAAAAGATAATATTTTATATTTTAGATGAGAACATCAAATTCCTTAATGGTTTCTGGGATAATCGGAAAAAAAAAAAAAACATAGTATGTAGCAAGGGGTTAGTTATGTGGGAAGTGGAGATGTGGGTAACATAAACACTCGAATACTCGAAAGTGAGTGTATCTAGGTTGGTTTTTGTAAATGTTGGTGTATAGAATTTGTTTACCGGTAGATATGGGAATCATAATTTTTAGTAAATGGGTTTTCGTATGTAGTATTAGTACCTTAACCTAATATGTAGGCTGATAATGATAATGGAATGGAAGGATACAAATAAAGTTGTTCACGGTTCAGAGTATACTCAGAGTATACGTTCAAAATTTTCATTTTGTTGAGGAGTCTATGGGCATGAAAAAACATATATGTATTCATTTTGTTGGGAAGTCTATGGGCATGAAAAAACATATATGTAAGATATGTGTTTCAAGGATGTGAAGAAGGGTGGAGTTATCAGTTTTACTACCATGTTCACATTGAAAGGCTTGAATTTCCTTGTCAAACTGAGTTCAAACAAAGGCTCTAAAATGAATGGATTTTAAGATAGCATCATATTTACGATCATAGTGGATAGACCCACAAATAATGCGAATAAAGATCCGAAAATATAACTGTAATATTTATAACTACTTAGGCTAGAAAGAGGAGATGTCCATCAAAATTGGAATTGATTAAATACATTTGTGCATGGACAATAATATGTAAACCTGAAAAAGGAAGACACCGTATTTTCCAACTTGGCATGCATTACATGATAGATTTTACAATTGTTTATTACATGAAATAAAATTATTAGAAAACAAAAAATTAATCACTTCGTTAACATGATGCTTAAGCCACCGATTCCATATCCCGGGGATTGAAGAAAATAAAATTTAACATGGAGACTTGAGGCAATGAACTAGGTAGAGATCTAGTGCAAACATATCGAAAAATAGTGTGATGAGTCCGAGGATCCTTCAAAAAAAAAAAACCAAATTCCTCAAATTCACACGTACCTTTGTTCTCATATGTGAATTGATGAACATAATAAGTTTCTTTATAATATTAGGTGTAACTAACACATTATGAAGGTAAAAGGTATGGTTAGGAGTTCAAAAAATACTATGTCTCGCACCAACAAGGATTGATGGAATAGTGTATTTATTAAAAATAGTTTGCTTGTTACATGTATTAGATGTAACATTAGATGCACATGTGTACATGAACTACACCGAGTTGGTGGGGTCTTGGTAAGTTATGGCTTGAAAGGCATGAGGAAGTGTGGTGGTATGATATGGGCTTGTTAGGTTGTTGTCTAAGTACTAACCAATTAAGAGAAAAGGAAGGATGCATGTGTTGGATGGCTTGTTATTGTCATGATGGGCTTGCAAGTCGACTTGTAATCCAATTTGATGATGGACGTTAAAGGTAATGTACCCAACATAGAGAGCGGTATGGGGAGAAGCATTGTCATGGTGGATACCTTGTTGAGGATGTGATGGGGACAGACTAATTATCTCTTCAATATATAGATTGGGTTTAACGGTGGTGGATGATGTTAGCCATTTGATCGAATTTTTCATTAAGGCCATTAATAATATGAGTGACGAGGTTCTTCTCGAGGACGAGCTCATTATTATTTGGCATAATATCGAAATGGGCTTTATGTTTTTGACAATAATCGGTGATCGATAAATTTTCAATCTCATTGGAACGAATCTTATGGTTAAGTTGTATAGTACGAGCATTCTTATTGTCAAGAAAAACATGTGCAAGGCTTTTCCAAACGTTATACACGATCACACCATTTTTGATAATCATTTGGAGAAGAGATTTGTTAGCTATACCGTATATCATAACTTGACTAAAGAGTCTCAAGTTTTTGCCATCGGGGTGTGATATTTGTGAGGGAGTCCTCTTTGAGATGATTATAAATGTCGAAGGTTACATAACAAGCCTCAAAAAGCTCACATCATGCATCATAGTTCAACTAAATTACTCGAGATCACGAGTGAGATGGATGTAGGCACGAATGTTGGTGATGCCGAATAGTTTTTTTGTGGCATCCTTGTTGATGTCATAGTTGACCATGGTGAACGGAGAAGATGTGATGAGATGAATTTAGGGTTTACGATGTTGGAGGGCACTCGAGCCTGCCATGAAATAGAGAAGCATGAGAGAGAATGGCAGATTGGAAAGAAAATGTGGATATAAGATTTCAAAGGTTTGATACCATAATAGTCGGTATATTTCCCATAAAAAGATATTGATTCATTACGAGCGAATATATACATGAACATAGAATACATGTGCCAATGCCATAATACAATAATACATGTGCCTAACTATATATCCACCAATATCATGCTCTAAGACTCATTGGGTCACTGACTAAGCCCAATAATCAAAACCCATTCCAACTTGGTCTTAATATTCAAACTCCATACAAGTCTTTTTACCTAAGATAAAAGTTTTCGTTTAAGTTTCACCACATCTTTGGGGTTCACTTAGAGCACACACAACAGGAGATTTTTCAAAGCTTTTTCACTTTGAAAAAGCTATGAAAAAACTCTCCCTGTTGTGACAGTTTTTTTCACTAAAAGCGTTTTCAAAGAAATTGTTAATTAACAAGTTTTTTTATAGAGTTCTTCGATTAAAGTGGTGGGTTTCATAGATATTCAATTAAAAATTATCAACTTGTAAAAAGCATTAGAATAATAGTCATATGAAAAAGTAAATGAAAAAGTAAACTCTCCGATTGTGAGTATACGTTAAAGCTTGTTGGATTGATGACGTATGATTACATGACACTAAAAAGCTTTGTGAAAAATCTTTTTTATTATCAATGTTCTTAGGCTTGCCATGAAGGGATTCGAACAAGATTGTAACATCTTCATTGATGAGCAGGTTCAATAAAAAAAATACAAATATATTATTGATGAAAAAAATCATTCGTATTTATAAATAAGTCTACTTTTTATAAAAATACCATAATTACTTCATTAATTTATAACCATTAGTTTGAACCTAATACCACGCGCAAGCCCACCTAAACATCATTTGTTTTTCTTTTTTTTCTTTATTTTGTTATCTTAATGATTTTTCGTAGACTTGTAACTCATATAATCGTAGTTAAAGACCAATGAGGCAATGACCATTTCATTATTGGTTATGACAAAATACTTATATCATATAAAACAGAAAAAGCATTTTTATGATATAAAACAGAAAAAGTAAGTTGAACAGTATTATTTTACATATACCCAATCACCTCCTACCCGCCTTTTACTTCAACTTCCGATTCCTCCGTCAAACTCCAGCCACCACTGCGGATTATCGTTTCCAAATTGCAAGATCTTCATCCTGTCACTTGAAAAATAACATCAGAAATAAAGCAGTTAAAGTAAATATTCTCTCTTTCAATCTTCGTTTTACATCCAGCTTTTGTTCTTTTCATGTTAATTTGAAAATCGATCTGCACAGATGGCCGATTATACTTTCGGACCTCACAAAATTGATCACAACGACGTCTTCTACACCACTGATCTTCTATACGCTTTTGTGAATCTACGCCCTGTTCTTCCTGGTAATTTATCATCAGCTACTTGTTAATGCGTTCATTAATCATTATGTTAGGTTTTCGTTGGGACTTTCGTGGCATAATTATCGAGTTTACAACTTTTAAGCATCGATCCATCGGAATCTTCTGTTTATTGCTCACACGATTCTGCTTTACATAAATCTGAATTAGTTTTTGTTTTTTTCTTCAACAGGTCATATCCTTAATTCAAGTATTACGCTTTGAAATAAGCTAGTAGTTAGCAAATCTATATACCTAATTAATGCCACCATTATCTCAAAGCTCGTATTCTTATTGATTGAAATCGTAGATCACTGAAATGAATTTGGATTTTTTTTTTTTTTCTTTGATTTACTTGACGATAAACACATGTATTGGTATGCCCAAAGCGCGAAGTAAAACGATTTGGTGAGCTTACAACAGAGGAGACTAGTGAGATGTGGATTACAGCTAAGAGAATTGGTAATCTGCTCGAGAATTATCACAAAGCATCTTCTCTCACCTTTACAATCCAAGTAATTAAGCTTCCATTGTCTTTCTTTTATCGTTCTTTTGACATTATATTGTATTTTAAATGGGTTCCCTTTTTTTCTTTCAGGATGGCCCACAAGCAGGACAATCGGTTCCACATGTTCATATACATATCGTCCCTCGAAAAGTTGGAGACTTTGAGAACAACGATGATATATATGATGCTGTAAGTTCTCAAACATGATCAATCATATATAATCACAATAGATTTATTATATTATGTAGTTATTGTTTTGATCTCCGTAGATCGATGAGTCGGATAAGAATTTGAAGAAAAAACTAGACTTGGACAAGGAGCGGAAGGATAGAAGCTCGAAGGAGAGGGTTCAAGAGGCAGGAGAATACAGGAAGCTTCTCTCAATCGAACCAGAATCATAATATTGTTGGACTCTTGTGTATTTATTTATGTATTTGGAATAATTCATAATAAATATGATTGTTGCATTTTGTCATATAAAATAATAAAATATGTCTATCAAATTAATAATTGTAGGTAATATTTTATCCTAAATTTGTTAAAGTTGTAACATGATCTCTAGTTGTCTATATATAGTTCATATCCATATAAAGGTAAAATATTTATAGAGAGATGAACATACATTTAACTTTTTTTTCAATTGTAGCAGAATTTCCATCACATAATGTGTCTCAAAACTTACCAAAACATCATCACTAATCGACGAATCGATGAGGGAATAATCCGTCACCAAGCAACGACCTTTAACCACTGTTATTTTTGGGTGGTTTTTTAATGGCAGAAAGAAATTTTAAAAAATCTAGGAAGATTTTAGAGAAATAAGAACATTACAAAGAAGATAAAAGTTTGGGTTCTAAAGTCATCCAATCCAATTCATTTTAGTTTTTTGCTTTTATTGTAAAGCCAATAATACGATTGTATTACAATTTTCTCCAAAACAAAAGTTTTCTCCGCTTCATTAGATTGCAACAAAATGACATTCTAAAATCTCCAAAGAAACAAAAGAATCGTGACAATAACCACCTCCAAACCTTTTCTAGAGTCATTGTCAATATTAGGGTTATCCGACCACAAAAGTAAGGGATAATAACTTGAAAGGGTAACGAATTTTTGATTTTTTTCACATTTAGTCACTAAACTTTTTTTCGTTATCTATTTGCCATTGAACTATTGAAACTATTCACATTTTACCCTTATGACCGGTCATAAGGATAAAATGTGAACAGTTTCAATAGTTTAGTGGCAAATAGATAACGAAAAAAAGTTTAGTGATTAAATATGAACAAAATCGAAAGTCCATTTCCCTCTAAAAATCAAAATTTCCAATCTGATTTTGGTTTTACAAAAAAATGAACCATTCTCACTGATGTGAATTATAACCATTGGTTTGGCATGCGGAATTTGTGACATCCCATGAATACGTAGTTACAACATCGTCTGAACTCGTAAATCATAGTAAGGGGTTAGAGTATCATCGCATGAATATGTAGTTACAACATCGTCTAAACTCGTAATTCATCACCTACAGGTTATGGGCCTGCTGGTGTTTCCACTGGGTTGTCTAGAATAGTCTGTGGTCGCTATTTATACTATGGTAGATGACTACATCGTCACATTGCCGGTTAAGGTTATGGTATCTCCTTTCATCCTACATCACCTATTCATCATTATCTATTTACCTAATTATCATCACCTTTCTATCATCACCTATCTCTCATCATTTTATTTCATCACACACCAACTATTTCATCTACCCATGTTTCATCCGCAACATATTTGTAGATATAAAATAAATATAGTGTTTAAATCTTTTAAACATGTATAAAATCATTCATCCAGCATAGACAGCAATTATTCAAATAATATGCACACACAACACGTAATTTATATAAAATACTTCATATCTATGTGTAAGATGAAAGTAACTATATATACCATAAAAATCCCATAAATGCTTCCTAACTTCAAACCCCTAGGTTTACTCTACTAAAGCTTCATATTCTCGGCTCTCTGGACCTAGAAGGGTCTAGATTCCTAACTTCAAACCCCAAGGTTTACTCTACTAAAGCTTCATATTCTCAGCTCTCTGGACCTAGAAGGGTCCAGATCTATAACACAAACTTGCAAGAGGAGTTTGAGGCATTCAAAACCCCAAAGATGAAGTGATTCAAGCCCTAACCCCAAAATGGAATCTACACAATAAGGAAGGTGATATGTGTATTTTTAGATATATTTTTATGCACTTTATCTTAATATTTTGGCCTTATTTATTCTATTTTAGAACTAAAGAGTACTCATAATGCTTTGAATTATGTTTTGCAGCTATTTGTTGTCAATAAAGCACAAGAGAAAAGACTGAAGCGGAAATTGGGCTTAGAAGCTAAAAGAAAGAAAAGGGGGCTGAGGTCGCGGTTACGCCCCGCGTACCTTAAGAGTACGCCCCGTGTACCTGCTTGCACCGGATATACATGATCGCGTGATTATCCATAGTACGCGCCGCGTAATCCATAGTACGCCCAGCGTACTTAGGTCGGCCACAAGGATTATAAATGTCGATTTTTAGCCAACCAGGAGGGGGGATTCGACTTCTAACCTAATTTAGTCGACAATTAACTTCTGTTAAGCCGTTTTGAGGGTCTAGAAGGCGGCCGGAAGGCCGTTAAGCTAACGGGAGTAGAGATCTGAAGGATTGGAGAGCGGATACATGTCGGTAATCATATGGATTGCTAACGTGACCATGTTTAGCACTTCCTTATGGTACTTTTTGTATTTAGTTTCTGATTTGGGTGTAAAAACCTTTTACTTTGTGTTTATGATTGAATGAAGTTTTGATTCTTAGACTAATTGTTATGTTAAAGAATTTATTTGTGTTTAATTTATCTTGCCAAGCTTGTTCAAAGATCCTCATGTGTTAATGATGATTATTTGCTGTTAATTGTTAAGTGAATTAAGTTGTATGAAAACCTGCTTGATTTGCTTGTCTCTTATGATTTTTGATGACCATTGAGATTATAAGACTAGAAATAACGAATGTGAAACTAGGATTAACATGGGAATAAGTAAGTTAATGTGTGAGCCTTGTTTGATGACCATCAACAAGAGGTTAATTAAATGTTTAAATTAACTAAATTTACAAGTCTTGCTTGATACGAACTGAACACTAGGAAGCATGTTAGTTTAATCAATTGATCACTGTTTGAATTAACTTGTTTGCTAAAGGATTAGTTATAGTGAGCATGAATCTAATCAATTTAGGAATCGGTGAACATGAATAAATGAATCTGTGTATGCAATTGTTTATGTTTTCAAGGTGGAATTTATCTAAACCAAAGTACCTAAAGAGATTTGTTTTCCTGTTAGTTTATCGAGAATGGTTAATTAATTATTAGTTTGAGATTTATTAAATTATTCTTTTCGTGTAACCTGTAACCTATAATTAAATATATTAAATTAATCCACCGTTCCCTGTGATCGACACCCGACTTACCTAAGCTATACTGTAATCTGACTAGGTACACTGCCTATAAGTGCATAGTTAGTCTAAGTTTGTTAGGTTATAAATATTAAAATTAATGGGTACTTTCGTGCACATCAGAAGGAAAGGGGCTCATTTTTGTACCTCAGAATGATGCTCCTTGCTTGAATAACTCAGAACAATAACCTTCCTTGGTCCCTCTTGCTGGAAATCTTCTCCTTTCTTGCAAAATCACACCAAAAAGCTCAAGATAGCTCTTCATCTGAATCTACACACTCAAGCTCGCTAGGTTCTCACTTATGGGAAAGGTAGTCGCAATTGAAGACCACAAGTGCCTTTAAATATGGCTCGGGCCCAAAGATTTAGGGTTTATGTGTAACATCCGTGTTCCCAGGTATCTTATTTTATGCATTCATATTGAGTTTTTGGAGAGACGGCGAGTAGACGCTCAGACTCGCCGAGTAAGATCGCGGATGGTCGGACTGATTTAATGGCGGACTCTGCGAGTCCACCCTGTTTAATGAAACCCTAATTCCTGGGGTTTGGGACCTATTTAAAGGGGCTTATAGCCACCATTTGCGGCTACCGGACCCTAGAGAGGAACCCCAAGAGATCTAGAGCGTTTGTGAGGAAGAAGAGGTCATTTTTTATCCTTGTGTGGGTGTTTTTGCAAGAAGAAGGTGGCCAAGGCATGAGGGAACTAAAGAGGGTGCTATTCTGTGGATTTAAGAGTCTAGGGACTTCATACTGAGGTATATATTTCGATCCTTCTTCAGTTTCGTGTTAATATTTGAGAGTTAGGGTTTCTAGCCCCTTTAGAGTATGGATTGTAGAGAAATTGGTCCCTTCTTGTGTTGAGACTTTGGATCTGGATCCAAAGTGGTCCAGAGACCTTAACTCCTCGATCTTTATGGGTGTTATTGGGAAGATATGAGCTTAGGATGGCATATTGAGGCCATTTCTTCAAATAGAGCCATTAGGTCTTTGCATGGGCATCAAGATCCAAACTTTACGTGTTATCTTGCTTAAGGAGGCCAGATCTATGGGTTAGAGGAACGGATCTGACCTCAGGAGGTCATTTGAGTTTGAGCATGGCTTGAACTCGCCGAGTCCAAGAATAGACTCAGCGAGTAGGATAGTTTTTCCCCATGAATCACATAGATGGTAACTTGCTGAGTTGGGGAAGTGACTCGGTGAATCATTAAGGATTTTGAGGACTTGAGTTCATGACTGAACTCACCGAGTCACAATTGTGCACTCGGCGAGTCTGGTCAAAGAGTTGACCGTTGACTTTTGCTGACTTTTAGGTTATGGTCAACAATTGGACTTGTGAACTGTTTGAAGGGTAAAATGGTCTTTTAGCCTTCTTAGAGAACGTGTGAGGATTTAGTCTAGCCTGGAGAGTCGGTATTAATTGGGATGATCGTTTATGTGTTTAGGCAGAGGCTAGATCAGTGTTTCGCGAGCGAGATACTACCGAGACATCCGAGGTGAGTTGTAACACCCAAAGTTAGGAAAGCCAAGAAAAGAAAGAAAACCCCAATTTTAAGGGGAGACTCGGCGAGTCCAAGGATGAACTCGACGAGTCCGAGCGGGATCCGGGTCGAGGAGTAAGTGACCGACTCGGCGAGTCGGCGAAGGTGACTCGGCGAGTCTGGTCTGAACGAGGAAAACCCTAAAATCGGGACTTGAAGCCTATTTAAACGCCTCATTCTCTCCCCTAAGGTTCCTTTACTGCCTCTTTCACCCAGGACATCAAACCCTAGCCGTCACATCCATTGATTGAGCCATTTGTTGCCTTGGAAGGTGCATTGAAGCTTGAAGAAGGAAGAAGGAGCTTGGAGGAGCAAGAAAGGGCTATAGATCTGGGATTGTGAGTTCATTTTGAGCATTTGGAGGTAATAAATTAGTTCTTGGACCCCCTCTTTGCACCTAGATCTATGTGTTTTTGTTGGGGTTTTTAGCCATGATGTTATTCTTTCAAGTTAGAAGCCAGATCTGAAGTTGCTACTTCAGATCTAAGCATATGATGGTCTTGAGAAGCACAAAGTATCAGCCCTTGAGTGGATCATGGAGCCTCTTTGCCTTAAACCCTAGTTCATGG